AATGAGTGAGGGAGGAGTGCAGAGGGAGGGAGGAGTGAGGGAGTGAGGCGTGTGGGGTGAGGGAGCGAGGCGTGTGGGGTGAGGGAGCGAGGAGTGTGGGGTGAGGGGGCGAGGAGTGTGGGGTGAGAGATTGTGCGAGTGTGCACACACCCTGCCTGCAGGCCACACTCCGCGCAGGTGAGATAACAGAGACAGTTAAATGTAGTCTCATTCCTGTGTCTGACAGGAAACATTTGCAGCCTGTCATTTCATCAACCGGGGGGGGGGGTGGTGGGGGGAGGGGGCTGGAGCTCACACTTGGCTGATGCTCCAGTGCAGGAGGGAGAGAGAGTGCTGTATTGTTGAAGTTCCATCCTTGGGATGAGATATTAAATCGAGGACCTGTCTGTACTGTTCAGGTGGGGATTAAAGATCATGAGGCGCTACTGGAAAAGTAAAGGGAGTTTCTCTCTCCCAGTGTCCCTCAGGTTAATCACTCGTTCACCTCATGTGTGACTGTGTGGGAACTGGTTGTGTGCAACACGGCTGGTGCCTTTACCTGTGAAATCTGCACAGCCCCCACCCTGCCGGCAGCGAGTCTGTGCGAGGCAGACCTGCTTCAGGTGCAATGAATGGATATGTTTGCTATCAAGATGCAGATGAGACATCAAATATCCCCCCCCCCCCCACACACACACAAGCCCTGAACAAAGACCATCTATGTGGAACCAGCTTGGGAGTGGCTTTAAAGATAATATTTTATATTCAACCCAAAACAAAAGTCTGTTGAGACATTAATCCCCCCCCCCCGCCCAGAGCACTCCCCCTCGCACCCCGACATCACACCCCAGCTTTCTGTTTCCCATGGGGATGATCTTTGCGCTGTTGTGGAATTTATTCCGAGATCCAGGCAGACACACTAGCAGAGGCTCATCTCAACCTCTATGAGTGATCACACAAAATGCAGTCACTACACTTTACCGTATAAAAACAGACCTGCTTCCTGGGAAATCGCAGCATCTATGGGGAGAGGAGAATTAGTTAACATTTCAGGTCTGGGACCTATAATCAGAACTGGAGTTCTGACAAAAGGTCATAGTCTTGACACTTTAACTCATGTTCCTCTCCCTCGATGCTGCCTGACCTGTTATGTGGTCGCAGCCACTTGTTTTTCTTGCCTAATAATTTTCAGGATGGCAGTGCTTTGCTTACACTTTCCAGTATATTCTGTGACGCGCTTTGAGATGTCTCCACGATATAAGGCGCTATATCAAATGCAAGGATTATTATTATTATTATCATCCCCAAATTACTGTGATTGCATTGGCCCACGTACGTCTTTCTCTACATCTCCATCCCAAAGCCTCTTTCTCTCAATCCATCTCTCTCCCTCAGGATGTATGTGTCTGTGTCCATCAACCTCTCTCCAGGCTCCGTTATGAACCTGCGATTCCCCTCTGACTGAAGAGCGAGTCTCCTCTTCAGTGAAGCACAGCCAGTGCTGGCTGCCGACACCTTATCACAAGTAAAATATTTTCAATCATCTTTTTTGTCGAATTTGTCAGGCACTAAGACCACAGTGGAAATGTTTCAGCCTATGTTAAGGAGACCGTGATTTAAAATGCAAACTCCCACACAGGCAGCGAGGACTCCAAATCCCAACACAAGTCCAGTCTGTGAGCAGAGAGAGAGAGGCTGTGACATCTCAGTCCGGACACATGGCCCGAGGGCTCTCTAACCCCAGAGCTCAGAGCTGGTTCCCTGTATTAACGAGAATACATTAGTGTGATTGACAGAGGCAGAGATTGACTGACCGAGGGCGCACACACACGTATTGCTGAGGCTTGAAATGGGGAATGGTTTGAACTGCAGATGTGACCCCCTGCAAATGGAGTTAAACCAAACTGTGTGACACCTCAAGGCAGGTAAGGATTTTTAATGTAATTGTCCTTTTTTCTTTTAAACACAAGCGCAACGCGCGTGGCATGTGGTGTGTGTGTTTGTCCACTTTAAACCCAGAGGCACCAACCGAGCTACTGAATCCCTACATCCCAACCACCCCAGGCCGGCCCGAAAACCTCCTCACTCAGGGGTTCCTTCCAATGGTTTCTTTAGCATTCCCGCGGGGAGAGAGAGAGAGAGCAGAGCACAGGGTTTCCCAGAGCGGCTCAAGGCATTCCTTTTACACCGCTCTCCCAACTCATCGCTACCGTACAGAGAGCCACGGTGAATATTGGGAGATTTTAACAATTAACAAACTAATGTCATAGCCTTCTGTAGGGAATTGTAACCAATGGGAATGAGTGGGAAGGTTTGGTCCATTGGGATGGGAAGGGTGTGTGTCGCCATTACTAACAACAACAAGATTACATTTGTATAGCACCTTTCACGTCGGAAGGACGTCCCAAGGCGCTGGACAGTGTACAGCATTTCAGACCCAAGCTGGGGTCAAGGGGGAGAAGGGAGAGGAAGGGGTCTGAACGATGGCTTGGTCGAAGAGGAGAGTTTTGAGGCGGGATGAAGGCTAAGGAAGGGGCGAGGTGGGTGACTGGTGGATGGAATTCCAGAGGATGGGGGTAGAGTGGCTGAAGGCTCTCCCGCCAATGGTGGGGCGGGTGATGTGGAGCAGCCAGAGCCGGCTGAGCGTAGGGAGCCGGCAGGATGGTAGGGGTTAGGAGGTCACAGAGGTAGGGTGGGGCGAGGCCATGGAGGGCTTTGTAGGTGAGGACCAGGATCTTGAACTGGATCCTCTGAAGGATAGGGAGTCAATGGAGTCGGGCGAGAGTGGGGGAGATGGGGTCACGGAGTTTGGTGCGGGAGAGGACACGGGCTGCAGAGTTCTGGATTATCTGCAGCTGTGGAGGGAGGAGTTGGGAAGGCTGACAAGCAGTGCGTTTGCATCGTCGAGCCTGGAGGTGATGAAGGCATGAACAAGAGTTTCAGTGCCTGAGGGGTGAAGTAGTGGCGGAGTCGGGTGAATTTACGAAGGTGAGGGAAGGTCTACCCAAGCGAGTCATGGCTTGGATGTGGGGAAGAAGACAGTTGAGAGTGTCTCCGGGAGCAGTGAAGAGGACACAGACTCTCAGGTCTCTTTCACAAAGTCTGTGGTGTTGGAATATGTGAATCCCGAAGGCACAAAAACAGTGACTGGAAATATAACGACTTGTATTGTGTTTGATTACTGTTCAGGCTGTTTTACAGTGAGGGGGGGAGTCTGAGTGTGTGACACGATGTGAGCGTGTAAGTGTGTCAGTGTGAGTGAGAAAGTGATGCACTTTATGTGTGTGTGGTGGTGGGGGGAGGACGTTTATATTTAAGTCTGTCCAGAGAATTATTGCACCGTAACTCCATCAGTGTATCCGCAACGTAAAACATCGTAAACACGATGTAACCGAAACGTGATCCCATCATAAACACAATATAACTGCAATGTAAACACATGCCTTATGTTTACCATCTGTCCGGGTGCCAATAGCACCCCCCACCCCCGTGTAAACTAACCCACCACCCCGCGTCTCTTACTTAACCTTCTGCCAATGTCTTGTAATAATTGTGTGTACCTTGGCTCTCAAAACTCCCTAAACAGGAGCTAAAGGCAAGATCAGGGCTGTACAGAGGCACTGTACTGACTACCATTGGGACGGGGATTGGAGAAAGACATTTGCGAACTCAATGCGAATGCCAGAGATTTCTCCCAGGACATTGCTGCCGCCCTCAGGTGCCCGGAGGAAGAGGATATCACTGTGAACATCGTTGTATTTGATATAGCACTGATAACACTAAAAGTACTTGGCGGGGAATTGGGGTCCAGGTGTAGTGACTGTGTTTGTGGGCAAATGCAGCAGGTCCCACAAAAGTCCATGGACTTAGGTTTCTACACTCTCTGGATTGTCAGTCATGTCACCAAGAGAGACACTCTTCCGTTTTCCAATAGTCAACAGGAGAGACGGGACCTCAGTTTAAAAATCCATCTTAACGGTAAACCCCTCTGACAGTGTAACCCCCCCCCCCACCCCCACCCCCACGGACTGTACTGAATCAGCAGCTTAGCTCTGTGCCACAGCTGAAATCCTGACTCCATACAACCACCCAACCCACAGGCCGACACCGAGCCACATTATTCAATAGAGGATTAACCGTTTGTCAACAAAAACACTCCAATATATAACTATAATCTAAAATTGAGATTACCTGCTGAGGGCCGGTGCTGGGAGCTCAGGTTCTGATTCCAGGCCACCGCATACTCTCATTCCCGAGTCCACCTATGGAGCTCCAGGAGACTGTGGATGAGAGCTCAGAGTGACACTGATCAGATATTGTTATTCTCTGTACCTTTTCCATGTATTCATGTAAAATACTGGCACGTCGCTGACTGGACCCGAACAACAGCCTCCAGGTAACTGGGTTACTCCCTTCACCTCGCCCTGTATGTGGCCTCACCGTGCAGCAGGTGGCTGCAGGATCAGCCTACAAAGCCAGTCACTACACTGACCGATAATAACCAGATATAGACCCTCTTCTTCTTTTAAAAGCCGCGGAATTGCTCTAATCTCTGAGATTCCCTGTTAGTGAGACGTGAGTGAGTGTGAGTACAGCGCGTGGCGCGTGTTTAAGTGTGAACAGTTGTGCGTAGTTATGTATTGCTGTACAACGGTGCGGGGGGGGGTGTCTGCGGGGGCACATGGCTGTGGGTGTCGGTGGGCTGGGCTGGGGTGGGGGGGTGTCGGTGGGGTGGGGTGGGGGGGTGTCGGTGGGGTGGGCTGGGGGTGTCGGTGGGGGGGTGTCGGTGGGGTGGGGTGAGGGGGTGTCGGTGGGGTGGGGGGGTGTCGGTGGGGTGGGGTGAGGGGGTGTCGGTGGGGTGGGGGGGTGTCGGTGGGGTGGGGGGGTGTCGGTGGGGTGTCGGTGGGGGGGTGTCGGTGGGGTGTCGGTGGGGTGGGGGGGTGTCGGTGGGGTGGGGTGGGGGGGTGTCGGTGGGCTGGTGTCCGGGCTGATGGCTCTCTGTCTGACAGGCTCTCGGCACCATGTGGCTGCTGCTGCTGCTGCTCTTCCCATTCTGTGATCAGCTGCTGCCGCTGCGACCCCCGGACCGCGCCATCCGCCCGCACCGGCCGCTCCGGCTGCCCCGAGCGCGCTTCACCGGCCAGGACCGCCCGGAGCTCAGCAGCCAGTGCGACGCCGAGTGTGCGCGGAGGGCGGCGGCGGCGGCGGAGGATCTCTCCTACGAAACGCTCTACACGGACGGCTCCCGCACTCTGACGCTGGTGGACACCGCGCGGACACCCGCCGCTCGCGCCCCGGTCTCCGGCGCCAACCGCAGCCGCCGGGGCCGCCCCCGCTGTCGGCGTCAGCTGTTTGGGGCTGACGGTAGGTTCGACATCGCGGAGTCGGGCTTCGCGCTGCGCTTCCCCTTCTCGGCCGCCGTGCGGCTGTCCACGGGCTGCACCGGGGTCCTGGTGTCCCCGCGCCACGTGCTCAGCGCCGCGCACTGCATCCACGACGGCAGCCACTACGTCAAGGGCGCGCGGCGCCTGCGGGTGGGGCTACTGAGCGCGGGGGCGGCCTCGCCTGCGCCCCCTGGCGGCGCCTCGAACCCGCCGCCCCCTCCTGCGCCCCCTGGCGGCGCCCCCACCCTCCGCACCCGTTGGACCCGGGTCAGGCGCACGCAGGTGCCGCGAGGCTGGGTGCGGGGCCCCGGGGCCGGGGCCGGGGCCGGGGTCAGCATGGACTATGACTACGCGTTGCTGGAGCTGGCCAGGCCCCAGGGCAGGCCGCACCTGCCTGTGGGTGTCGCCCCCTCCCTGGCCGGCAGGAGGGTGCATTTCTCGGGCTTTGACGGCGACAGACCCGGACAGTTGGTTTACCGCTTCTGCCCCGTGGCCACCGAGACGCCACACCTCCTCTACCAGCGCTGCGACGCGCAACCCGGCTCCAGCGGCTCCGGGGTTTACACGCGGCTGCAGGGCCCGGCCGGCGGCTGGCGGCGCACCGTCGTGGGGGTCTTCTCTGGGCACCAGTGGGTGGAGGTGGGCGGCCGGCAGTTGGCCTACAACGTGGCGGTGCGCATCACCCCCCTGAAGCAGGCGCAGATCTGCCACTGGATCAGCAGCTACAGCGGAGACTGCGGCTCCACCTGACTCGCTCACTGCAGTCACAACACAGTCACTACACTCCAGTTACTGCACAGTTTACAGCGGTCCTCGTGTCCCCCTGACCTGAGGTTGCTGGGAGCAGCAGGGGCCCCAACAGCCACCGGGGGAGGGGGTAATAAGCCAACACACTCCTGCTTCTGGCACAGACATTTTATTAATAAATAGAAACACAAAAGCTTCCATCAGCAGCAACATCACGGCAGTGGGGGGGGTGTGGGGGGGGGTGTGGGGGGGGAGGGGAGGCCTGCGGACCGGGTAGATAGCTCCAGGCCTTGCCGAGCAGACACGTTGGCACTGACGGACTGAGGAGAACTGTTCCCCTTTAGAGATTACAATTTCTACACTTTGACCAACGCTCCATTGGAAACCACGAAGATCAAGTCACCGGAGCCAAGATGAGGATTGTGGCAGGGATTCTGAGAGCCACTAAACCGTGGCTCAAGTTGGTACTCATTCCGCAACCCATCACCCTCTCCCAGCCCCTCACTCCCAGGCAGGTGGGACAGGTCCTGTGAACACACCAATGTACTAAATTACAGCCACCAGAGTCACTGGGGCCAGGACTGAACTGCATTTACAACACAAACCATTGCTCCTTTCTGCTCAGACGTGAATTTTAGATCCAAACGGACACTAGGATGATCAGAGCGATCAGCAGAGGGCACCCAGAGCTAGTGCTCAGTGAGGACAGCTTCAGGAATGGTCCAACATGGACATTGCACTAACAAGAGAAACAGCCAACCCCAACTCCATTCTCCAAAGGCCAGATCCTCCTGCCCTCTCCCCTCCCCCACTGGCAGCTGATCTGATTAGTTATTTGGTACAAGTGGAGCAGCCAGTGGTGCTGTCCACTGACAGGCGCTCGTGGGAGACCACTTCGGGATCCGGGGGCACAGCGTCGCCATCCTCAGCTGCGAGGACAGTCTCCACCAGGAGCCGAGCTGCTTCCTCAATGTGGACGTTATCCTGGGGAGAAATCAGGATCAGCTGAGGGATTCTGTTCTGGCAGGTTTCAAACCATTAATTCCAGCCCTCCCTGCTCAAGAGAGAAGGGAGATGATCTTGCTGACAGCGAGAATGAAGAACATTTCTTTAGGATGAAGAATGTTTATAATAAATATTTTATAATAAAGATGGAAAAAGATCAAAATGGAGCAGAAGTAAAAACATGTACAACACAGATGGATACTATGTTTAAGAGTATCCAAACCAGACAGATTATGGACATTTCCATCTCAGGAATGAAAAGCGCTTCCTCTCCTGGAGGGAATTGCCTAATCTCAGAGTGTATTCAATACCATTTGGCAAAAGCCAAGGTTCGAGGATCCCAATGTGCGTTCAGATACTCCTGGAGTTTAACCACCAACAATAACAACAACAACAACAACAAGATTCCATTTATAGAGCGCCTTTCACGTCAGGAGGACGTCCCAAGGCGCTGCACAGTTGGGTCATGACCCGAGCAGGGGGGAAATGGTCAGGGTGACGGGAGGGAAGGGAGGGAGAGAGGAGGGGGAAATGGTCAGGGTGAGGGGAGGGAAGGGAGGGAGCGAGGAGGAGGAAGAGAGTCGAGAGGGGAGCTGAAGGCACGGTCAAAGAGAAAGGTTTTGAGACCGGCCTTGAAGGAGGAAAGGGAGGAAGCGGCGAAGGCACTGGGGGATGGAGTTCCAGAGCCTCGGGCTGAGAGGCTGAAGGCCCGACCACCGATAGTAGGGCGGTTGGGGCGGGGGACGTGGAGCAGACCGGAGCCAGAGGAACGGAGGGTACGGGCAGGTAGGTAGGGGGATAGTAGGTCGGAGAGGTAGGAGGGAGCAAGGCCGTGAATGGCCTTGTAGGTGAGGATGAGGATCTTGAAATCAATCCTCTGGGGGATGGGGAGCCAGTGGAGGCGAGCGAGGGTAGGAGTGATGTGATCGCGAAGCCTGGTGCGGGACAGTACACGAGCTGCAGAGTTCTGAATGACCTGCAGCTTGTGGAGGGAGGTGGCGGGAAGGCCGGCGAGGAGAGAGTTCCCATAGTCCAGCCTTGAGGTGACAAAGGCGTGAACCAGGGTTTCAGCGGCGTGAGGGGTGAGGTAGTGCCGTAATCAGCTTGCCTCTTGAGAGAACCATATGGCAAGCTTCCCATTGCTTGTCCAGCTAGGACCACCTTACCTATTAGGGCATCGTTAACACAAGTTGAGTGCGAAGAATCCCTGCTCCCAGTGCCTGGTGGACGGCACTGTATTTTGAGATGCGTTTATAACAATATCCTCCCTTGAGCTTTTGTCCATTGCCAACACTGGTCAGGACCTGCAGTACCCATAATAGCCACCAGGCGCCGCTCTGTTACAGTCTGACTTCCCACTGGCCGGTGCTGTCCACAAAACCCCACGATAGGACCTCATAGCGCCGCCAAGTGGATGGAATGGGGAACTGAAGGCTCCACCTGGATAGTCACCATCTTCAGCGTCATTTTTAGGCAATTTAAGCATTGCGAGTCCCTACTCACAGCTCCAGGTCCACAGCACAAATCCCACCAGACTGCACATTGGTAAATTCAATCTGAGAATTAGTAGAGAGAAATCAATCAATCCTCCCACACATCACTAGATATTTCTTACCTTTGCCGAGGTCTCAAACCAGCCAACGAAGCCATTCTCTTTGCAGAAGTGCTCCAGTTTGGGCAGGCTGTAACGGAGGCCCTCCTTCACCTGGTCACACTTATTTGCCAGCAGGACTGTGGGCACCATCTTGCCGTTCTGCAGCCGGACCTTCGTATCCAGGTCGTTCTTCCACTTTGAAACTGCTTCAAACGTAGAGGCTCGAGACACATCGAAGACAATAAATGCAGCGACAGCCTCTCGGTAATACACCCGGGTCATATTGCCAAACCTCTCCTGCCCTACAAACAGACCAGAGAGCAATGAGGACACGAATTCCCGCAGAACGGTTGGGTTAGTGCACCACCAGGCCAGGCTCCCGAGCGGTATAGCCTCCTGTGCAGACCTTACTTTCAGCTCTGCAGGTTGCCTACAGATAAATATTAAATATCTCATTATGTCTAATTTTATAAAACACCAGATGAAAATAACCATGTAAGATGTGTCAATTATCATTTGTGTCAAATGTCTCCTGGTCAGATGGTTATAGGTTCAAGCCTCATATCCAGATTTGGAACTCCAGCTGTATTGTTGGAGGTGCCTTTACATGAGACGTTATACCGAGGTCTCGTCTACCCCTCTAAGTGGACGTTAAAGATCTCCGGTGCTATTCGAGAAGCGAATGTGTCCTGACCAACAATCCTCCGAATAAAAAATAATTCACTTTATGGCTGTTTGTGGGATATTGCTGTGCTGTGATCAGCCAAAAATACACTTTGCAATAGATTCTGTGAAGTGCTTCGAGACGATCTCCCAATGTGAAGACAAAATGAAAGGATCACATTGTTGGGAAATGTGGACTGGCACAGATAACTCAAAGCTAAAAAGTAAATGGACATTATCTTAATGGGCAGACAGTGTAGAGGGAGCTTTACTCGGTCTCTGACCCGTGTTGTCCCTTACCTGGGAGAGTGGGCTAACAATGTAGAGGGTTAGAGACAGAAGTTTACTCTGTCTCTAACCTTGACCTGGGAGTATGGATGAGACAGTAACAGCGTTCAAAGATTAACTTGAACCTTCTCAGTAACTGCAGCGACTCCGCCCTTCAAACAGAACAGAAACCATCAATTACAGCAGAACTGAGAGCTGCCACAGCCTCTCGGAGGCCGCCGCCGCCTCGCCCAGAGTGTGTGTGTGTGTGTCGGGGGGCCCGGGGTGTGTGTCGGGGGGCCCCAGAGTGTGTGTGTGTGGGGGGGGGGGGGGGCGGAGTGTGTGTGTGTGTCGGGGGCCCGGGGTGTGTGTCGGGGGGCCCCAGAGTGTGTGTGTGTCGGGGGGCCTGGGGTGTGTGTCGGGGGGCCCCAGAGTGTGTGTGTGTGTGTGTCGGGGGGCCCGGTGTGTGTGTGTGTCGGGGGGCCCGGAGTGTGTGTGTGTCGGGGGCCCGGAGTGTGTGTGTGTGTGTCGGGAGGCCCGGAGTGTGTGTGTGTCGGGGGGCCCGGAGTGTGTGTGTGTCGGGGGGCCCGGGGTGTGTGTGTGTGTCGGGGGGCCCGGGGTGTGTGTCGGGGGGCCCCAGAGTGTGTGTGTGTGTGTGTCGGGGGGCCCGGAGTGTGTGTGTGTGTGTGTGTGTCGGGGGGCCCGGAGTGTGTGTGTGTGTGTGTCGGGGGGCCCGGGGGGCCCAGAGTGTGTGTGTGTCGGGGGAGTGTGTGTGTGTGTGTGTGTCGGGGGGTGTGTGTGTGTGTGTCGGGGGGCCCAGAGTGTGTGTGTGTCGGGGGGCCCGGAGTGTGTGTGTGGTGTGTCGGGGGGCCCGGGTGTGTGTGTGTGTGTCGGGGGGCCCGGAGTGTGTGTGTGTGTCGGGGGGCCCGGTGTGTGTGTGTGTGTGTCGGGGGGCCCGGTGTGTGTGTGTGTGTGTCGGGGGGCCCGGTGTGTGTGTGTGTCGGGGGGCCCATAGTGTGTGTGTGTGTCGGGGGGCCCGGGGTGTGTGTGTGTGTCGGGGGGCCCGGAGTGTGTGTGTGTGTCGGGGGGCCCGGGGTGTGTGTGTGTGTCGGGGGGCCCGGTGTGTGTGTGTGTCGGGGGGCCCAGAGTGTGTGTGTGTGTCGGGGGGCCCGGGGTGTGTGTGTGTGTCGGGGGGCCCGGAGTGTGTGTGTGTGTCGGGGGGCCCGGAGTGTGTGTGTGTGTGTGTGTCGGGGGGCCCGGGGTGTGTGTGTGTGTGTGTGTGTCGGGGGGCCCGGAGTGTGTGTGTGTGTCGGGGGGCCCGGGGTGTGTGTGTGTGTCGGGGGAGTGTGTGTGTGTGTGTGTGTCGGGGGGCCCGGGGTGTGTGTGTGTGTCGGGGGGCCCGGAGTGTGTGTGTGTGTGTGTGTGTGTCGGGGGGCCCGGGGTGTGTGTGTGTGTCGGGTGGGGGCCCCGGAGTGTGTGTGTGTGTCGGGGGCCCGGGGTGTGTGTGTGTGTCGGGGGGCCCGGAGTGTGTGTGTGTGTGTGTGTGTCGGGCGGGGGGGGGAATGGCAAAGCGCTGGGAAACGAGCAGCACAAACCGGAGCCACTCCATCCTGATGCCGGTGCCCTCTCCTGTGGGGCACAACTCCAGAGATTAACCAACGGCGCCCGGAGAAGCCCCGCCCGGGCCATCGCCGCTTCATAACGGCGTTATTGGAAAGACACCTGAGATACGGGGGGGACTGCTGTCTGGTCACCTCCCCCTGGACGGGAGAGGGGGAGGCGGAGGGGGCGGTGGAATCAGACGGGACAGAACACGATACTATCCTCTGCTGACGGTGTGGAGCCTCCGATGAGCATCTCTCTCGGTTCATCAAGCGCTGGTTTGATCATCCCGCCCGGGGGGGGGGGGGGGGACCCGAGTCCCCACCTCAGGGGGAAACTCCGGAGGGAAGGGCTCTCTCTCTCGGGATCTCTCGGCTCAGGGCTCAGGGGCTGCTGTTGGTTTGATAGTTAAGCGGCGTTTCTCAACTTCAGTTCCTCAAACTTTTGCCTACACGAGCGGCGATTATTGGCAAAATAAACAGTGTCCGACTCTGTGGGCAAAGGGAGAGGAGCGACGGATATACAGTAATTCACAACAGAAGGTCTCTAATCTCTACCAATTCCTTAACATAAATGTGCCTCCGGTCAGGAGCCTCCATCACCCCCTCTCCCTGTTTCCCTTTCCTTACCCGCTATATCCCAAAGCTGGAGTCGGATCACAGTGTCCGGGTCCCAGTGCAGGACTTTGAGAGCGAAATCCACGCCGATGGTGGCTCTGTAATGCTGGGAGAAGATCTGGTGGACATACCGCTTGATGATGCTCGTCTTCCCCACCCCCAGGTCCCCAATCACCAGCACCTTAAACAGGTACTCTTTCCGCGCTTTCTCCATTGATGCCCTGACACTGTGTGTGTGTGTGTCTGTCTGTGTGTATATGGCTGTCTGTGTGTGTGTATATGTCTGTCTGTCGGTGTATGTCTCTCTGTGTATCTCTGTGTGTGTGTGTCTGTCTGTGTGCCTGTCTGTGTGAGTATGTGTATATGTCTGTCTGTCTGTCTGTCTCTGTCTATGAGTGTCTGTCTGTCTGTGAGTGTGTCTGTCTGTGAGTGTGTCTGTCTGTCTGTGTCTATCTATGAGCGTGTGTCTGAGTGTGTGTGTCTGTCTGTCTGTCTGTCTGTCTGTGTCTGTGAGTGTGTGTGTCTGTCTGTCTGTGAGTGTGTGTCTGTCTGTCTGTATATGTAGACACGCGGCTCCTCTGATCGCTTTGTAAAACTTCCCAAAGGTAACTTTACGCCGAGTCTCTCTGTGGTGCTGTCCACTCGTCAATGTCAGTCCTGGGGATTTAAAAGGGCAATAATTGTCTCCGCTCCGCTCGGCCCCCCCTCCTCTGGCGGGACACAGACACCCCTTTAATTCAGGAGGTTCACGCGGCTCAGGTACAGGTGTGAGCGTTCATTGATAAACTGTATAAAGGATTAGAGCCGCGCGTAACCGGCTGCCGGTGGGCCAGGGCGACGCTTCCAAATCAGCACTAATTGTGAACAGAATTTCCCTCCCCCTTAAATTGCACCCCCCCACACGCACACGTTTAAACCCGCAAACGCGCCACTACATCGCTCCCCCCCCACATTCCTATACCCTCAAACAGACCAGTAACGCCCCCCCCCCCCCACACACAAACAAACAACTACCTATACACACGTTATTTTATTTTCTTGTTTCCCGCACAAACCTTATAAAGACCATAAATAAATGGCAAAGAAACAGTGAGTGGCTTCGGGAGGGTGAGAGGTTACGGTGAGAGGTGATGGCGAGAGGCGGGGGGTTATGGCGAGAGGCAGGGGGTTATGGCGAGAGGCAGGGGTTATGGCGAAGGGGTTATGGCGGGGGGTTACGGCGAGAGGCGGGGGGTTACGGCGAGGGGGTTACGGCGAGAGGCGGGGGGTTACGGCGAGAGGGTTACGGCGAGAGGCGGGGGGGTTACGGCGAGAGGGTTACGGCGAGAGGCGGGGGGTTACAGCGAGAGGCGGGGGGGTTACGGCGAGAGGCGGGGGGGTTACGGCGAGAGGCGGGGGGTTACGGCGAGAGGCGGGGGGGTTACGGCGAGAGGCGGGGGGGTTACGGCGAGAGGCGGGGGGTTACGGCGAGAGGCGGGGGGGTTACGGCGAGAGGCGGGGGGGTTATGGCGAGGGGGGGGAAGGGGGTGATAGATGAAATGATTATCACAAAAAAAGTGCCGTTATGCTGAATGTCACATACAATGGTCTAGAATGTTCCTAAAAAAGTCACATGACAGCGGAGGTTTAACAGAGCAAAATGTCAGGGCTACTGATTGTTCGATGTGTGTTAATGCCTTCATTCCCCCCCCCCCACCCCAATCGCCTCAGTCAAACTCCTCATCGCTGTCTGACAACCCGAAGCTGTCGTCAGACTCCTCGTCCTCCAGCGGGGGCGGCTCGTCACCCAGGACCAGCTCTTTTGGCTCCTCCACACTCCGCTCCCTCCTCTCGCTCTCCTTCTCCTCCACGTGGGTGGTCGGGGCGGGCGGGAGGTCCAGCCTGGCCCAGGTCCTGGGGTCGGCCTTTGTCAGGCTGATCTCTACCTTGCTGGCAGTCATGTTCACCACACTCTTGTTGACATCAATGACCTGGAATAAGGCAAACATCCCGATCCCACAATTATTATAATAATATAATAATAATCCTTGCATTTGATATAGCACTTTTCACGTCGGGAGGACGTCCCAAAGCGCTTCACAGAACATACTGCAAAGTGAATTGACTGTATATTTGTGGGCGAACGCGGCAGCCAATTGCGCACAGCAATGTCCCACAAACAGTCGTAGATTGAAAATGACCAATTAATTATTGTTTTTGGTTTCTGAAGGGATTATTATTAGGCTCTGTGTGGAGTAAGGAAACTTGCCCAAGGTTTCGCCCTCTGCCTGGAATTGAACTCAGGTCTCTCACTTGCAAAGCGAGTGCTCTAACCACTGAGCTACAGGACTCCAAATTCAACCTGGCCAGTCAGGCCTCAGAGTAACCATGGTAACAGCAAACCCACATGCCTCTCTCCATATACTCAATTCCCATGTACTCAATAGTTATATCCCGGTTTTATTCCGCCAGTTATAATCTCCCGTCATATCCTCCTTTATATTTGCCCACAAAATATACAGTCAATTCACATTACAGTAGATTCTGTGAAGCGTTTTCAGATGTGATAAGGCACTGCATCAAACACAAGGATTATTATTATATTCCTCCTCATCCTCCATGGCCTGCAACAAGCGCAGAATACTCACCCCCCAAAGCTTTAAGTCCGTGTGAAATATCTTGTCCTCTTCAAACACGATGTGAACGGTCAGCTGCAAAAGAGGCAAATAATCTGTCAGACAGCATCAAAACATCTCAAAGTGCTCCCCAGGGAATCGTTGTCAATTGCCAACCCCCCACCCCCGACATGCACAGGCAGCCAGGAGGAGAATGATCAGTCTACCTGGGGGTTGTCAGCCAGGACACCGTGAGAGAGAAACTCCCTCTTTTACAATTGTGTTGTGGGACCTTTAACATCCGCTGAACAGGCACAGACCAGACCACAGTTTAATGTCTCATTGAAAGGACTTCACCTCCGACAATGCAGACGGTTAGGGATCCTGTTACAGAGTCCATCGGGAGCCATTAAACAGTTTGGGTTTTCCTCGCCTCCCTTCTCCCCACTAATGACTGGGGAATGGAGAATGTGATAAGGTGAGGAGCATTACTCACCGCGGTGCGATTGGCATCCACGTAGCTGAGCTCCGAGTTGGAGGTCTTGGCATAGATTGTAAAGACCACCACACTGCCAGTCTGGTGCCAGTCGTGTCGACACCCCACCAGCCGCTTATCCTGAGAGGAACACGGTCACATGAGAGTTAGTCCCCGCCCTTGCACATCGCTTCTCCACATCAACTCACCCCCAACCAGCTGGGAGAGACTGCAGACAGTTTGCTCCCGATGGCAGACTGAAGGTGGATCTCACTGACGACTCCATGCTCGGAACTGAGGTTTTACTTAGTCAAAGAGGCAGACAGCTCAGGTCACAGTCACAAGCTCGGAGGACAAAAGGGTGGAGGAACTCAGTAACATGGTTCATGGCCAAGTTGCTGCCCCACAATGCGCAATGGCTGAGAAAGCCCTCTACCCGAGGCTGGAGCTTGGCTCAGGGCAGTAAGTGGTTCCTTACCATATCTATCTTGATCCACGTGTGCTTGCCGGTCACACAGCCCGGCTGCTGCAGGAAGTCATCGAACTCCGTTGTCTTAATCTTGCAGCAGCTCCAGTACTTCATGCTATCAGAGATCAGAGCTCAGAGGGTAAGGACAAACCAGGGAGTCATCAAACACCTTCCCTTCCCCAAACCAGGCTCTGAACTAGGCCCATTCCAAATCCTTTCCAGCCTGCTGACAAACCCAGAAAATCATTCTCTCCCTCTCTCACCATGCAAAGAAGAGAGGAAATTAGAAAAGGAACATTTGTGACTCACCCTTCGTGGAAAATGGGAACCCCGGGATGAAAGGAGCAGGTCTGAGAGTTACTCTGAGGTCCCTGGAATGTCTGGTGAGATAAACCCAGAGTCAGCTTGTGCCAACATGACTTGGCTCAGCACAACACAGTCACCACACTCCCCCAACTTCAGCCCAGTACACCTTCTCTCCTGACAGTTAACATTGCCTCAAATACGCTCTTCACCAGTTCTTAAAAAAGAGACTTTCAGATGAAGGCTGGATACAACAAATTCACACAATTTAACCTTACATGTTAAGACAGAACAATCTCATAGGCTGAGACAGGGGGGAATTTTGGATTCTTGGGGTGTCTAAACAGCCGCAACTCTCCAGGGAGAGAGAGCACATTCCACTCCACACACAAAAAAAATGTGTAGGCAACAGACATATGTGGAACTCGCAGTCTGGTTTGGAGATGTTTAAGCACAGTGATGGGTTTCCACCTGGCTGACCCCAAAAATGTTGGACTCTCCCATGGGACCCACCTTCATACACCCAGAGTTTTTACACACCGTGCCCACTTGAACTGCTCTGCTGCCTTCGGTCTCTGAAACACAAAATAACAGTCACTAGCAAATCCGGACACGCTTGCAGACTAATAATAAAACAGTGATAACAATCCCAGCATTTGTTACAGCGCAGAGACTGGCGAGGACATCTCACAGCACTTCACCAGCACAGCTTACCTCTCTGCACACCCACAGGTTGCAGTGTGTGACTGAGCTTCTCTAGTGCCTCCTGCAGGGAGACGGAGACTTTCTGAGGGAGTTTCACCATCGGCTCATCAGCGCTGGTAATTAATCAAAGACAAATCATCAACAGATTATTACTGTCTATTATTCTCACCTGGTATCCACAGCCAACAACTCCCAGCCATAGTGCGGGTTAGAGACACAGTAATGCTCCCTCTACACTGTGCGTCCACACTCCCAGGTCAGGGTTAGAGACACAGTGAAACTCCCTCTACACTGTGCGTCATACTCCCAGGTCAGTGACAGCATGGGTGACAGAGATTGTTGAGGAACCTCACCTCGGTCGCTCTCTCTCCATTCTTTCCGCTGACTTTGGTCCCTGGAAGATGTACTCAGAGCCGACCTGAGCATTCAGGGTTTGAGCCATATCCGTATCATTTTGCACCTCGACTTTCACAGTTTCCGGAAGCTTCTGATTGCTGTGCCGGCCACGAGTGCAGCCCTGGGCCAGAGAGAACCAGAATTCAGTCACATAATCCCAACATTCCAATTCCAACAAGACATACTGTCTCCCGGAGGCCAGGGATGTCCCGCTCAGCGCTTCTCGCTCAGCGGCTCACAGACCATCGGCTTTGTGTCTGCTATATTTTATAGTTTTACATCCATTCAGCTGGTGCTCGCTCCCCCACTGGAGCTCTCTACTCTAACCCCATTCCCTGCTCTCTCTCTCCCCATCGTTTCCCGCGATTCATTGCAGCAGGCCGGTAAGTGCACATGGTTGTGGAGTCCTGTAGCTCAGTGGTTAGAGCACTCGCTTTGCAAGTGAGAGACCTGAGTTCAATTCCAGTCAGGGCGAAACCTTGGGCAAGTTTCCTTACTCCACACAGAGCCTAATAATAATCCCTCCAAAAAAACAAAATAATAATAAATTGGTCATTTTCAATCTACGACTGTTTGTGGGACATTGCTGTGCGCAATTGGCTGCCGCGTTCGCCCACAAATATACAGTCAATTCACTTTACAGTGTGTTCTGTGAAGCGCTTTGGGACGTCCTCCCGACGTGAAAAGCGCTATATCAAATGCAAGGATTATTATTATTATTATTATCGTGTCTGTGTTGGTGCTCGCTCCCCCACTGGAGCTCTCTAATCTCACCCCATTCCCTGCTCTCTCTCCCCATCGTGTCTGTGCTGGTGCTCACTCCCCCATGGGAGCTGTCTATTCTAGTCTGAATCCCAACTCCCACCTGATCCCCTATTATTTACTCTGGAGTTTTCTGCAGCCCCAGAGGACAAGATTTGCACCCACACGAGTCACTTCCCAACTGCGTCCAAGGCCCCACTCACTGGGATTTCCAAGAATTCTGCAAAGTCAGTCGTTCTTTTCCTGCAACACGACCACCCCTGGGGAAAGAGAGGAAAATGTGAGGGCGGCGAGAAGGAGGGAGAGGGTGCACAGGCAAAGGAGGGACCAAGGGAAAGTGTGAGGATGAGGGTTTACCAGAATTCCACCTCACAACCTGGTTCTGAATTTCACAAATGGGCTGAAGGAAACCCACTGCTGAACCAGAACCTTGAAGTAGAATGGATCAGACACCAGACCCAGTGCCGGGAAGGGTGAGCTATGCCGGATAGGCTGGGACAGTTTGGGGGCTCAGACGTACCTTCAGGGCATCGTGGAAGATGGGAGCTCCTGGGTGGTAAACACAGTCTCCTGTCAGGAGAGAAGGTTAGAGTTTAGGGTGGGCAGCGAGGGTGAGATGTGAGCAACACTGACCAAGAGAGGGTCAAACCACAAACACCGAGCAGCGGAACCCAGCGTCACTGGACTCTGGCCAGTATCTGCTCTCAGTGGCTGAGCCACGCATGGAGTTTTAGACTTGCTGCTCACTCGCTCCCAGGAACCTGGTGTGTGGCTGCCACTTGGCTCGACTGGTCACCAGGTCAGGGACGGAGATTGGGAAAGTGAGCACTCCATTCCAGACACAAGGAATCTCCATGTGTAGATGACACACATGGAACTCAGTCTGCTTTGGAGACTGAAGCATAGATGGGTTTCCACATGTGTGACAGGACCTGACTGATCCTAAAACATACCGACCTGTGCTTGGGGGATTGGGCCTGGTTCAGGTCCCAGCTGTCAGGCTGATCTGGAATAGAGGCCAGGGGTGAGTGTGTGGGTGTGGGGGGTGTGGGGAGGAGTGTATAAGGGGGGAGGGGTGTGTGAATGTATGTGTGTGGGAAGTATGTGTGGGGTGAGGGGGGAATGGGTGGGGGAGGGGAAGGAGTGTGTGTGTGTGTGTGTGGAGTAGGGGGGTTGAATGCGTGTGTGTAATGGTGTGTAGGGGGGGTGGGGTCTGAGGAAGAAATGTTCCCACAATAGCCCAAACCAACCTCCTCCAGAGAGAGTGATTCCATTCACAGCGAAAGCAAATCAGTGTGAAAGGCATATGAGGGACAGGGCTGAGCGCCAGCAGAGGGTTAGTTCAGGAGTTAGTTGAATACTTAGTTCGTTAATAAGATGGCAGAAAGGTTAGTTTACAAAGTGGTGAAGGTTTGGAGACTCACCGTCCGTGTTGCTGAGCGATTGGAAGCTCTGGCCACAGCCTCTGTTATAGCAGAGCTCAGACATTCCCCGCTCCGCGCTGACAGCAAGTCCTGGGATTGAGAGGGATCGGGAATATGGCTTCCAGCAGATCCCGTCCGTCCGCCCGGTGACTGGTGAAGCAACCGAGAGGCAGAGACGAGGAGCTGGAACTCTCTCGCTATCAAGTGGGAAGGAGTCAGATTAGCATTTGCCCAAAAATAGGCACAACATTTGTTCCGGGCGATCAAGTGGCGCAAAGAGAGACAGACAGACTCCAACTTATTCACACCCTGACACAGACTGTAGCTCACTCACTCACACACACACTCACACACAGACTGCCACTAATACACTCACACACACACACACACAGACTGTAGCTCACTCACTCACACACACACTCACACACACAGACTGCCACTAATACACTCACACACACACACACACAGACTGTAGCTCACTCACTCACACACACAGACTGTCACTAATACACTCACACACACGCACAGACTATAGCTCACTCACTCACTCACTCACTCACACACACACACACACACAGACTGCCACTAATACACTCACACACTCGCACACAGACTGTAGCTCACTCACACACACACAGACTGTCACTAATACACTCACACACTCGCACACAGACTGTAGCTCACTCACTCACACACACACACACACACACAGACTGTCACTAATACACTCACACACACGCACAGACTATAGCTCACTCACTCACACACACTGTCACTAATACACTCACACACACGCACAGACTATAGCTCACTCACTCACACACAGACTGTCACTAATACACACACACACACGCACAGACTGTAGCTCACTCACTCACACACTGTCACTAATACACTCACACACACGCACAGACTGTAGCTCACTCACTCACACTGACTGTCACTAACTCACACTCACGCACACAGACTGTAGCTCACTCACACACACACACATATAGACACAGGCTACATACAGTTCACTTACAGACTGTAGCTCACTCACACATGTACACACACACTCACACACACCTTGACACAGTCATTGGGTGATTGTTCCTCGTCTGAGAGTCCGAGCAGCTTCCAGACGGGGGAGAGGCGGGGGCATTAGGTGAGGATAAACGAGACCAGTCTCAGTCTGTGAGGCCATTTTTGTTTTAAAATTAATCTCACAGAATTGTGGAAAATTCTGAAATCCTGTCGTAATTTGGAACCATTTGTTTCTGCAGTTCAACATCAGATTCCAAACCTTGACTGAAATGAAGAAGTGTCCACGTTTCTCGGGTTACTTTGAATTGCAGAACCAAATGATGTGTGAGGCTGAGACCGACTGGAATCTGAGCGCCCAGAACCCGCCTTACTCTCGAGATCCCGCTGTGGTGATGTTGCAGTGATTGCTCGGGGCCGCGGGGCGGCGCTGTGAGTCTGTCGCAGTCACTGCTTAGGGGCCACAGGGCAGCGCAGCACTGCTCAGCAGTTCTACAGAGCCACCCAGTGGCTGAGTTCGGGTACTACAACCAGCGCTCAGCAGAGCTGCTGCACGACTGTGTTAACAGGGACCAGGGACTCGCACTGATGCAGTGACGTTCACACAGATAGACAAAGCAGATTAAAGCGCCTATTCAGCCACAGGAGAAGCAGAGACTTACAAGTCTTCAGTGAGGTTATAATATGATAATCACATTTTGGGACAAAGTCATGGATGTGGATACGATTCCAGCCACACCGCCATCTCAGGCAAAATCATCTTCAGAACTGGACGGGAGGAAAATGGAGTTTCTCCTGGTTCTGTGGCTTTTAATATTCCAAATAGTCATTCTCTTAATAGCCATAGGTGGCACATTGTAGGCGTCCGGGGGCTGGGGTGGGGCGGTGGGAGACACACAGCGAGGGGGCAGACACAGTAAGGGAGGCAGACACACAGTGGGAGATGGGGGAGACACACAGTGGGAAGGGGGGAGGCACTCAGTGAAGGGGTAGACACACAGTGGGGGGGGCAGACACAAAAGCGCGGATTGACAAAGTTTTGCACCCCGTGTATTACAATTATTTAATTATTATTTTGAGTTTTTATACATTTGAACAAATTCAAAAGCTTCTTTTCTACAAGAGTTTCAAAGCGAACATTCCCGCCCGGAGCAGTGCCGAGGGCCCTACACGTTTCACTATGGCCACATCCCCACACGTGCGTTAGTTAGTGTGTTACATGATCCATGCCCTACTCTCACCAGTCTTCAGGAGTCAGTTTATTACACACAAACTCTCTTTCCTCTGATTAGACAAAGAAGCCAGAGTTTCACCTACAAAGAATATAACATTTGTTTTGTTTCTCTCTTACTCTGGATGTGTGACACATGTGCTCACAATTGTAGTGATCCATTTTCCCTCTTACAGATTGGGTGAAAAGTGTTTGTGAGGCCAGGAGGGGAGGTGGAGCTGAGCACAGGCCACTCAATCTCACACCCACGGCTCCCCGCAGGGACGAGGAGACAATCTTTTACAATTAACACAGCGCTTACAAGTCGGGAAGCCACACACATGACCAACGTGGGCCACACACATGACCAACTCGGGCCACATACATGACCAACGCGGGCCACACACGTGACCAAGTGCAGTGTAGCTGCCGGGTGTCTGGCCAGTAACTGGACGTTATGCCCTAACAGCTGAGGACGCAGTGAGGAGTCTCTGGAAGCCCAGATTGTCACCAATAAACACTGACTGACAGACACTGACCTGACCAGCATATCCCTACCCTTAACGGGGTGGGGGGGGGGGAGCTGAAGCAAACCGTAATCCTGCCCCCTCCCTCCATTGAGATCAGTAATTGAGCAGACAGACGGACAGTGTGGGCTCAGTGCGGCTCTGGCCAGGACCTCTGTGTAGCCCACCACCAGAGATCCCAAACTGTCCCAAAATATATCAATACATTGTAAACATTCCCATTAAACTGAACTCTGAAGCTTTCCCCACGAGAACCAGAGAAAGATAGCAGCCAGCAAAGAGCAGGACATTGAGAGTGAGCGAGCAAGCTCCCTGACCCACCCCCACCCCCAGCCCCAGCCCCATCCCCAACCCAGCCTGGCTCCCATCGCCAGCAGATAGACTGTGATAATGAGACAAAGTTCTGGCCTGGTGCAGATACGCCACAGTAATGATGCTCATTCCCCGTCTCTGGGATTCCAAGAAAAGTCCTAAACAAAAAATCTGTTTGTCCATGAGCGAAGCGACTGCTCCGACCTCACAAAATGGTACAACAGCTCCTCTCCCCCGCCTTCTCCCGGTTCCTTTTACCTGTCACACAGAGAGACAGACAGAGAGACTCAGAGAGACAAACAGAGAGACACACAGAGACTCAGAGAGACAGACAGAGAAACACACAGAGAGATAGACAGAGAGACTCATAGAGACAGAGAAATACACAGAGAGATACACTCAGAGAGACACAGGCACACACACACAAACGAGGCACAGAGAGATGGTTATGGTGTGTGACAGGCACGGGCTGGTCACGGTGATGGGTTTCAGTGTGTGACAGGCACCGGCTGATCACGATGATGGGGTTCGGTGTGTGACAGGCACCGGCTGATCACGATGATGGGGTTCGGTGTGTGACAGACACCGGCTGATCATGGTGATGGGTTTCGGTGTGTGACAGACACCAGCTGATCACGGTGATGGGTTTTGTTGGCAAGTGTGGGGAGGTGATGAAGCCTTACCCTGGAAGCTGGGTTCCGGCAGTGTCTCCCTGGCAACCAGGTGCATAACTGCGGTCCTGCCGGGCGGCAGCTTCAGGGCTGTGGAGAGAGACGTGTCCCAGAGAGTGAGTGACCATTGGAGGAACAGACAGGACCGAGCGCACAGGAACACTGGAGGGCGGCTGGTGTGCCAACTGGAAATCAGACACCCACAGCCAAAACCACAGCACGGACACTGCTGACCCCACTGACACCCAGTGACTCACACCCTCACTGACCCCACACTGTGACTTACCCCCCAGTGTGACATTGCCGTGTAGAAAGCGTCCCTGGTAAATGAGGCGCAGGATGTCGGAGCTGCTGACCTGCTCCTCTTCCCAACCTGCAAACACACACACACACCGAGGTCACCAGCGGCCATGGCAGGGCAGGCCCCAGGGTGAGGCTGGGGGGTGGGGCTGAGCCCAGAGGAATTAGACAAGAATTTGTAATGGAAAAGGCATGTGGGGCTGGTGGGGGTGGGAAGAGAGGGCAACCCCCACTACAGACCCCCTCACACCCGCAGACCCCCTCACACACAGACGCACACATGCTCCCCAACACGTACCCATTGGCCAGTTTTGATAAACATGTTTGGCGACATCCACGGCTGAATCATTCGGAGAAAACAGGAATTCCTTGGTCTTCCCACTCACTAGGATAAGGCGCAAGTTTATCTGTATCAGAGAGAGAGAGAGAGAGAGAGGGTGAGAGAATTAGGGAGAGAGAGAGTTGAGAAAGGGGTTGGGTGGGAGGAAGAGATTGAGAGAGAGAGACGGTGAGAGAGAGAGTTGGAGAGAGAAAGAGAATTAGAGAGAGAGAATTAGAAATGCCACACCCACACAATGACATACACAGACAACTCACATTCCAGCTGTTAATTCAATTGAGGGGATGCGAGCCAGGATAGCAGGGAGTCAGGAGAACTTCATCTTTCCTTACAATATAGGAGAGGGCCGGCCAGTTGGTACAGTCCAGAGCAGGGCTGGAGCCTGTGTGCGACATGGGGACAGGGAGCAGTCCTGACCAGTACATGTTATTATCACGGTGACCTCCCAGGAGGTTCTCCCGTTTTGCCCGAATCCGCAGCATGGGAACATAGGAACAGGGAGAGCCATTCAGTGCCTTGAGCCTGTTCTGTCACTCTATCAGATCCCGGCTGATCTGTACCTCAACTCCTATTGAGGAGATGGCTTCTCTTTTAAAAACATGTCAAAAAACAGCTTCCAACAGAGCCCGTATTTAAGAGTTTTCCACAATTCCTCCCGATGTTGACATCTCACACCCCGAGATGGTCAGACACCGGGGGAAGTGCGGGAGGCAGTGAAGGCTGGAGAAACAGGACCAGCGTGGGCCCCCCACCCCCACACTCCCCAAAGGTCTGGAATCACATGGTACGTGTTTGCTGTATAAGTGGTGACTCTGTAGCTCTAGGGATGGAAGTGGGGAATGAGACGACTGTGAGTGGAGATAAGGTTCACACTGACTGGTGCCACTGGTCACAGACAGCCACAAACAGGGACTGTGCGGGAACAATGGGCTGAAGCAAAGCCCGAGCCTGTGGCAGGCGGCCCCTCAGAGCCAGCTGTTCGAGGCAGACAAGAGCCGCTCACACTGAGCCCAGGACAATCATATTGTCACAGAGGAGATGTGGGCAGTGACACACGCTGACAAACACACCCAGCATCTTAATCAGGGCTAGAGCCACAGCCTGCCCTGCTCGCAGGAACGCACCCCGACAGACACACACACACACACACACAGACATACACACACAGCAAGGCACCCCAACAGACAAACACACACAGTAAGGCACCCAGACAGACAGACAGACAGACAGACGCACACGAATAGACAGACAGACACAGCAAGGCACCCAGACAGACGAACAGACAGACACAGCTGCCACGGCAAACAGCCACAGGGACCAGCTCCAAGAATGTCCCAGTAACTGGATATTAAGTTTACATCCACATGTCCCCTCATCCCTGTGTGAATCTCACAGTGTGGTCAGCACACTCCTGATACACCACTATGATCTTGGAGTTCTGTAGCTCAGTGGTTAGTGCTCTCGCCTCACAAGCAAGAGGCCCTGGGTTCAATTCCCGGGCAGGGCAAAACCTTAGGCAGGTCTCCTTACTCCACACACCTCTGTTTATCGAGCAGTAAGTAGGAACCTGGTTGTTAGTCAATTGGAGGATCACTTTGTGGGGGCTAATAATCCCTCCCCCAAAATATAATAATGTGGTCACTCAATCCATGACTGTTTGTTGCAATTGGCTTTTGTCCACCAAATGTACAGTCAATTCACTGTACAGTATATTCCATGAAGCTCTTTGAGACGTCTCAATGATGTGATGAGGCGCTATATCGAAAGCTATAACCAAAATGTTTACTCACCTGTTCCTGCGTGTCCCTGGCTGGCATCACCTCTGGCATCGGAGCAGGGTCTAACAGGAGGTTTTCACCGGCTGCGAGTGGCTGTGGAGACAGAGAGTTTGTTCGGTCAAGCCAACCATACGAGCAAGCAGGTCACCCACTGACACACAGCAAACCAGGAACAGGGCAGCACGGCCACAACACACTCCCCCTGAGCCCAGAGAACACTGGCTCCGAGTGCAGAGAGAGAGAGAAATCACTCTCCGAGGAATCTCACTACAGCAATCTTAATAAATAATAATAATCCTTGTATTTGATATAGTGCCCTATCACGTCACAGAATATACAGTAAAGTGCAGTGACTGTGCACTTTCAGGGCAAAACGCGGCAGCCATTTGCACACAGCCATGTCCCACAAACACTCGTGGATTGAGTAACCAAATTTATTTTGGGGATTGTTGGCAGGAGAGAGAGAAACTGCATTCTCTTTTCGAATAGCGCCACAGGATCTTTACCTGAACAGGCAGACAGGACCTCGGTTTAACGTCTCATCCGAAGATGGCACCTCTGACAATGCAACTCACCTCCTCCCCCAGCGCTGCATTGGAGCATCAGCTTAGACTATGTCATTCCAAATCCCGACATGTTACATCTCAAAACCATGTTGTCTGTGTCCCTGACTGTCCATCGTCACTGATTTTGAAGGACACACACACGCGCGAACACAAAAATTCCTTTATCCCTCTCAGAGCCCATTACAGTATAGATCAGATAAGAGACAATGCTTCCTTTGTTATCTGTGTTTCACACCATCTCCTAAAGGTACCAGGAAAGTAGCTTTAGTTTAATGCAAATCCATTTAAGAAAACAATCCGCTGGCAGTCATCCTCAGAGATGTCACCTTCCTCCCCTGTGTATGTGAGCTCAGCCACCAGGTACCTGAGTCCAGTCAACGCTCACAGACCATAACCTTGTCCTCTCTCTCCATCAAGTGAGGATTATTTTCACCCTAAACCCAGGCAACACATATATACACCCCCCACCCCTTATATATACACCCCCCACATATATACACCCCCCACCCCTTATATATACACCCCCCACATATATACACCCCCCAACCCTTATATATACACCCCCCACATATATACACCCCCCACCCCTTATATATACACCCCCCACATATATAAACTCCCCACACTTATATATACACACCCCTACACTTATATAAACTCCCCACCCCTTATATATACACCCCCCGACACATATATACACCCCCACCCCTTATATATACACCCCCCGACACATATATACACCCCCACCCCTTATATATACACCCCCCGACACATATATACACCCCCACCCCTTATATATACACCCCCTCACACATAAATAAACTCCCCACCCCTTATATATACACCCCCCGACACATATATACACCTCCCCAACACATGTATACACTCCCGCAACATATATACAGCCCCGTTCACATATATACAACCCCCTACACAAATACACCCCCCTACACACACATATACAGCCCCCTTCACATATATACACCTTCCCTACACATATACACCGCCCCCCCTACACATACACACACATATACCCCATCTCACCGACACCACACACACATACCTACACACACAGACACACCCGAGACTGGGAGACGTGCCAGTGCGGGGAAGGCCGGGGCTGGACATACCTGATCACAAGGTGCAGCAGAGGACATCTTGCAGGAGCTGATGTGTCAGAGAGAGAGGGAGAGAGAGAGGGAAATAGAGGGCGAGAGGGGGAGTGTGTGTGAGTTTAACACCAGCAAACCTGCCTCTCGATCTCCGGCTCTGCCCCACACCCGGAGGCTGTCAGCCGCCCGGGGGTCAATCCCGGACAAACCTCTGTGTGTGTGTGTCACTGGTTGGAGGCGTCCCCGCTCTGCTCACACTCCCTACACCAGTCACAGGGAAAACACAACAAAGTCCCCCTCACCCCCACAACCCCCCCCACTAACCCCCTCCCCCCCCCCGCCCCCGGAGGGGTGTTGGTGGGAGTGTTTTGTGGGCGTGAGGGGGAATAGCCTCAGATTCTGTTACACTTCTCTCTGCCTCACACCTCGATCTTTGGTTGTTAACAATAACAACAACTTGCATTTATATAGCGAACCTCATGCAGGAGAGCGTCCCAGAGCGCCCGTCACTCCAATAATAATAATAATAATAATCCTGGCATTTGATACAGCGTCTGATCACGTCGTCGAGACGTCTCAAAGCGCTTCACAGGATACACTGTAAAGTGAATTGACTATATTTGTGGATGAAACACAGTAGGCAATTGCGCGCAGCAGCGTCCCCACAAACAGTCATGGACTGAAGTGATCGATTTATTATTACTCTATATCAGCAATACATAGGTGGGGGGTGCACAGCTTAACCTTGACCATGCCGGCACACGTTACAGAGGTGGGGGGTGCACAGCTTAACCTTGACCATGCCGGCACACGTTACAGAGGTGGGGGGTGCACAGCTTAACCTTGACCATGCCGGCACACGTTACAGAGGTGGGGGGTGCACAGCTTAACCTTGACCATGCCGGCACACGTTACAGAGGTGGGGGGTGCACAGCTTAACCTTGACCATGCCGGCACACGTTACAGAGGTGGGGGGTGGGGGGTTTACAGGATAAGCATCAGACACTCCCAGGGGACACTTTGTGATGGTCTCAGGTGCAGAATGGACTTAGCTCGGCTGCAGGTCCCTCCTCACACACACACTGCCCGCACTGGCACTGGGCACTGGCACTGGGCACTGGGCGGGCGGGCGGGCGGGCAGACAGGACAGTGGGGTTACCGGACACGGAAACAGGCAGAGACAGAGTGGGGCGGACCTGGGAGAGCAGCCAGGAAAACCGCTCAGACAGCTCTAAATATAAACAGCCATAATAAAGGCTCTCATCCGCTCTGAGCCGGGATTTCCTGTGCAGCCGAGGCCACAACGGCACAGCTTCAACGGCTGCGCATCATCATCATCATCGCCCACAAAACACACAGTCACTGCACTTTATAGTACATCCTGTGAAGCGCTGGGAAACGGACTCCAGACACTGCTCAGAGGACGTGAACAGGAATAAACATCACAGCAATCCCGGGACTGGGGTGAGGGACTGATACTTTTATAGCACATGGGGGGGGGGGGGGGGGGGGGCGGAGCGGTGGATGGAAGGGTCTCTGTGTAGGAGGAGCTTTGGGGTGGGCGGGACTTGATGTGGGAGGAGCTTAAGGTGGGTGTGGCTATATGTGGGAGGAGCTTAGGGTGGGTGTGGCTATGTGTGGGAGGAGCTTGGGATGGGCGGGGCTCTGTGTGGGAGGGGCTTTGGGGTGGGCGGGGCTCGGGGTGGGAACGGATTTGAGGAGGAACCAAAGTGCCGGAGCCGGAGCTCGGGGGGACCTGAGGCTGGTGCTCGGGGGGGGGCGGTGCTCGGGGGGGGGGGCGGTGCTCGGGGGGGGGGCGGTGCTCGGGGCGGTGCTCGGGGGGACCTGAAGCTGCACTGTTGGTGAGCGGCGGTTTGTGAGTTTATTTTATTACAAATTTGAGGGAAGAAAAACACTTGTGGCCCCGAAATGTGGGTATAGACCCCCTCCTCCTCCCTCCCTCACTCCAGCCCCTCCCCTCCGGAGCCTCAGCCTGAGCTGAGCTCAGCCCCACAGCCTTCTGGCTCCTGGCGGTGAGGACGGTGCCCCCTCCGGGTTGGCGTTAGCACTGGGGAGGCCGGGGGGGGGCACTGGGGGGCACTGGGGAGGGGGGGGCACTGGGGGTGGGGGGTACGGGGGAGGGGGGCACTGGGAGGGGGGGGGATGGGGGACGGGGGGGCACTGGGAGGGGGGGCCGTGGGGGGCACTGTGGAGGTATCTCCCTGAGGCCTGGGGTTTGTTTTCAGGCCATGAAGGAGGGTTGGACGCCCATCGCTCAGCACTACGCGCCGCTGAAGGCGGGGAGCATCGATGGGACGGACGCGGAGCCCCACGACCGAGCCGTGTCGCGGGCCATTGCCGCCAACTACCGGCCCAACAAAGGGGTGTCGGGAGACCCGCACCTGACGCTGTTTGTGGCGCGGCTCAACCCACAGACCACAGAGCAGAAGCTGAGGGACACCTTCTCCCGATTCGGGGATGTGCGGCGCCTCCGGTTGGTGCGGGACCTGGTCACCGGCTTCTCGAAGTGCTACGGCTTCATCGAGTACCGGGAGGAGCGGTCACTGGTGAAGGCGCATCGCGACGCCAACAAACTGCTGGTGGATCAGCACGAGCTGTTCGTGGACTTCGAGCTGGAGCGGGTGCTGAAGGGGTGGATGCCCCGCAGGTTCGGAGGTGGTTTGGGGGGAAAGAAAGAGTCGGGACAGCTGAGGTTCGGGGGCCGAGACCGGCCTTTCAGGAAACCCATCCACCTGCCCGCCCTGTACGTGGAGGGGCAAGTGGGCAAACCGGAGCGGGCGGGGTCCAGAGAGAGATTCAAGGATGGTTGGCAACGGGATCGGTACCGGTACCGGGACCGGGACCGGCAGAGAGAGCGAGGGAGGGAGAGGGGGGGCGAGATGAGGGAAGGGAAAAGCGGGACGGAGAGAGGGAGAGAGAGAGATACAGAAGCAAAGACCGAGAGCACAAGCGACACCGGGAGGGAGACAGACACCGACATAAAGCTGAGCCGAGATAGGGCTGAGAGGCCGAGTCTGCACTGACCGCCCACACACGGCCTCCGACCAACACCAACGGTCTCACCTGTGGCTCCATTGGTGGAATCCCTGCAATGGTCACTCGCTTCACAGCTGCTGTTTGTTTACAAACAGTCACTACACTCGGCAGCAATCTCTGTGAGACTCTCTGCAGCGTTTTGACCGAGTTGGTTTCTTTGTCGTGTAATTTGTTTTAATATGTAAAGGAAATATTGTAAAATGTTTGTTTTACGTTCCGGTTGGGAATTAAAGATAGTGCAAACTCTTGGAAGAGAGATAGTAGTTTGTTCCTGACCAGGAGATCTCCAGGTTACATCACTTTCACCTGGTGTTACTACACCGGACCTCTTGGAGACGGTGGAGTATCAGCTTGTTAACGTGTGAAAGACAAACCCGGTTGAGTAAGCTCCTGTTTGAACCAGTTTTAAATGAGACCGACCAGGTGTAAGTGTTCTGATTTATTAACAATCCAATCCGGTCTAAAATAAAATAGCACTAAAAAAATAATTACATCAGCCAATTTTATACATATGATACAGACATTCTGACGTATATACAGCTACAGACATGAACAGGCTGGCTCTGTAAAGCCATCTTCTATACAGGCACTCGAGTGATTACTGAGCTAAATGTAATCTATAGAATATATAATAGTCATCACTTTAGAAATATTTACAATACAAGATCAGTTTTCCCAAATTGTTTTTTTTTACACAAAATATTTCTTTGCAAATATTGGGACTGGGGCGGGGAGAGTGAGGGGTATCACATCCCAGACCAATCCCCAACTTCCATACCAGCAGAACCTGGAGAAGGTAATGGGATGGGATTTGGCTGATTTACCTCCTCAGCAGCTGTGGCCACTCACACAACCCAGGGAATGGGCAGGTTCTTCTGAGCAGACTAACGATGGCTCCATTGTACCTGAGAGGGTAATGGTGCAGTTTACACAGCAGGGAGGGAGGCCTCTACAGGCAGCTTCTTGCAGCCACTCGTGTCTGGATTAACCTCCCAAACAGCGAGCGTCCCACAGCGCTTCGTTCCCAACTTTCTCTTTATTAAATGGAGATAAATGGCCCGATAGGTTTCCTGTTAGCCCCTCACTCACCCCCCTCCATCCCCCGTCACCATCACCAGTCCTTTTGAATGTAACAAGGTGTGACATTCACACCACACAGTACAGGAGATTTACAGGGAGCGTCAGCAGTTAAACATCCCCCCCCCACCACCCAGGGCTTGTGAGGACAATATCGCTTTACAATGTGCGTTACGACTAATTTCCTTCACCCCTCAGCCCCCATCACAGTGTAAAACTGCCAGGCCGGCGCTGTGGCAGGAAGGCCTGGGGGTAAATACATCCACATAACACGGATAGAATTTTACACAATAAATGTATATATACACTTCTATAATATTGATATCACCGTTCAGACAATTAAACAGTGAGGGACCCACTGTGCGTACAATACTCGGGGCAGTCACTGCGGAGCAGGTTTCAGATTGGGCAACTCGGACCAGTCGCTGTTCCCGTCCCGGGCAGGTGGGCGTGGGGAGGGCAGGCAGGTGGGGAACACTGCCCAACCACCCTCGGTGACGTGTGAGACGGGGCACCCACTGAAGCAGGCACTAAAGCAGCTTTAGTTGTAGTAATCGGCAGCCGGGAGCAGGGCAGGACATCTCTACTGCTGTAGAGAAGGTATAAAAAGGAAGTGGGGGGCTGACTAACCCCCCACCCACACACTCCTTGAACCTTGTATAAAATGTGCAGTCTGGACCGGGCACATGCCATGGCAGCCAGTGCCAGGCTCTGGCATGAAAGTTGCACCGGGTCAGTGCAGACTGCGGTAACTGTGTGCGGGAGGTGGGGAGGGGGGGGTTGATGAGGCCTCTAACACTGTCCAGTGGTTGTGGGTGTGGTGATAAAATAAGTTAAATGTTCCGGGCGAACATCTGTGGTTACCGTGTGTTAATGTGTAGCCGGTGGCATGGCCGCCGGGCACTGAACCCACATTGCCAGCAGCAGAGCCATTCCCGACTCTGTGCAATGAAACGCAGACCCTCGTCAGTCAAATCCCCAGTGACAGACAAAAGTTCTGCGCCGACTCCTGTAGAGCAGGGATTTATCCCCTCCCACTCCTGTCCCACTCTACCCTCCCCAGCATTCCCCCACTCTCCCGCCCCTATTCCCTGCTCTGTATTTAAACTGTGGAGGACTCCATGGTTTTGACATCGAGGGACTTTCTGGGAGTGGTGTCCAGCAGCTTCTGGGTTTTCTCGGTGCTGCCGGCCTCCCCGGGGCTGTGGGGGCCGCTCTGCCCCTCCGAGCTGTACCAGATTCCATAACCAAAGTAAATGAGGAAACCTGCGGGAAGGGAACACTGCAGTCAGACCAGAACACATATTCTTATCATCTACCTTTTTATAGAATTTCAGCCAAAGAAAGTGGCCATTCAGTACACCCAGGCTGTGCCAGCTCTCTGTGTTCACTCCCACTTAACCCCCTCCCTACCCCCCACATGGATACACACTTCCGTACATTTTAACTTCCCAAATATTTGTCAATTTCCTTTTAAAGCCGTGACCATTTCTTTACATGGAACAACCCCCCACCTCTTGCCCCACCCCCCCCCCTCTTGTCCCCCACAAACCCCCCCACTCACCACCTCTCGCCTCCCCCCACCCCCACCTCTCCCCCCTCCCCCCCACCCTTTTTCTTGTTCACTGCAGGTCTATTTCTGTTGCCGCTCTTAATTTCAAGGTAAATATTTACCTAAAATCATCCAGACACCAAAGCGAGCCCAGGTGGCTAAATCCAGCATGACCATCAGGTAGATGTTGATGAAGATACTGCACAGAGGTAGGATTGGGAGCAGCGGCACCTGCACAACACACAGCAAAACACTGAGCAACACACACACACACAGCAAAACACTGAGCACACACAGAGCAAAACACTGAGCAACACACACACACACACAGCAAAACACTGAGCAACACACACACACACAGCAAAACACTGAGCAACACACACACACACACACAGCAAAACACTGAGCAACACACACACACACAGCAAAACACTGAGCAACACACACACACACACAGCAAAACACTGAGCAACACACACACACACACAGCAAAACACTGAGCAACACACACACACACAGCAAAACACTGAGCAACACACACACACACACAGCAAAACACTGAGCAACACACACACACACAGCAAAACACTGAGCAACACACACACACAGCAAAACACTGAGCAACACACACACAGCAAAACACTGAGCAACACACACACACACACACAGCAAAACACTGAGCAACACACACACACACACACAGCAAAACACTGAGCAACACACACACACACACACACAGCAAAACACTGAGCAACACACACACACACACACAGCAAAACACTGAGCAACACACACAGCAAAACACTGAGCAACACACACAGCAAAACACTGAGCAACACACACACACACACAGCAAAACACTGAGCAACACACACACACACACAGCAAAACACTGAGCAACACACACACACACACACAGCAAAACACTGAGCAACACACACACACACACACAGCAAAACACTGAGCAACACACACACACACAGCAAAACACTGAGCAACACACACACACAGCAAAACACTGAGCAACACACACACACACAGCAAAACACTGAGCAACACACACACACACAGCAAAACACTGAACACACGCATATGTTCACACACTATCACACACACAGCGGAGCGTGCCAAGCCACTCAGACTCAGAGAGAGAGAGAGGCTAACCTTGAAGGTGAGCGAGACGTTGCTCTCGGGCTGTTTCCAGATGATGACGGTGATGACGATCGCGATCAGGGCAAGCAGCAGGAAGGTGGTGAGCCAGAGCTCATGGCCTCCCAGCAGCTGCTGCATACAGGAGGCCATGATGATACACATTGCAGTTAGCACCATCGCTGTGAGGCAAACCACAAACAAACATTAATACAATGAGAATCAGCTTTCACCTCTCTCCTGGAGTCTGTCCCTTTCCTCATCGTCCCTCCCCACACATTCAAAGCCCATCTCAAGCCCGTGCTTTCTCCCTCGCCTCCTTCAAGGCCCATCTCAAGACTTTCCTCTTTACCCGGAAGTTCAGCAACCCTCCCACACAGAATTTCCACACAGGGACTCACATAGAATTCCCACACAGATGTAGACGAGTTGTCCTGAGCGCTGGGTGGGGGTTGTGTTGTCCGGGTTAAACAGCTGTTTGAGCAGCGAGCTCTTCTCTGTGTTCTGTCCTCGGTCGCTGAGCTGCAGCCTGGGCTGCTCCTCACCCAGCTGATTGGGCTGATACCTGCCGACAAAACACAGCCACCGGTGTCAATCTCACTGCTGTAGCACAGTGGTTAGCGCGCTCTCCTCGCAAGCGAGAGGACAAGGGCACGATTCCCGGGTGGTGTGAGACCTTAGCCAAGTTTCCTTATTCCACACACACACGTCTCTGTTTACCTAGAGGTAAGTAGGAACCCGGTCTTTAGTTGACTGGTGGATCACTTTACCAGGGGTAATGTGAGGAAATGCCAGGAGTGAAGAGGGAATGTCGTGAGTGAGGAGGGAGAGAGCGAGCGCGGTGGACACTGACCTGAGGATGAGCACACACACAGCCACCAATGAGTAGGCCAGCAGCGTCCCAATAGACATCAAGTCAACGAGATCCCGCAGGTCAAACAGCAAGGCCATGACAGCTGGCGAGGAGAGAACACGTCAGGTCAGGGCTCCTGCTCACAGAGTATCACGGATGGGGGTGGGGGGGTGGAGAGAGAGGAGGGTGGTGGGGAGGAGTGGGGGGTGAAGGGGGATGGAGGATGGGGCAGCAGGAGAAGTAGAGAGCAGACGAGTGGGCAGCAGACTCACCGGAGACGAGGCCGGACATGATGGTGGCGTTGACAGGGGTCTTGGTTTTATTGTTCATTTTGCCGAGGAAGCGGAACAGCAGCCCATCCTCGGCCATGGCATAGATCACCCGCGGCATTGGAAACATGGAGCCCAGGAGGCTGCAGACACAGTCAGCTGTCAGCGTTACCATCAACACCCCCCTCAGCATCGGCCACCCCACCAACACAACCCCCAACATCCGCCATCGCAACCCCCACCCACCCAACTTCCAGCAGCCTTCCAAGACCTCGCCTGCCCACACCCCAACACAACCCACTGAGGAATTATTAGCAACGCGCAGTGGGACAATTGGAATGACAGGACGGCACTCAGAACATAAGCTGAACCCATCATATGAGGATTTGGACAGAGAGAGAAGCGGAGGTCGGTAAGAGAGAGAGACAGGAGGCAGGGTGGGGGAGAGGAGTGGGGAACCTACCTGGTGGAGAGTGCACACAGAGACCCCACAGCCACAATGTATCGGGCTGGCTCCCACCTCACGTGTTGGAAGGCGGTGGGGATGGGACTGTCTTTGTTCAGAAGGTAGTAAGGCATCATGAGGGTGAGAGCAGCCGATACCCCAAAGTAAGCCACGAAGCAGATGAGTAGCGAAGCCACGATCCCGATGGGAATGGATTTCTGTGGGTTTTTAGCTTCTTCACCTGAAACACGAGAGAAGGAAATGTAATATTGAGCCACAATGTCCTCAACTTAGTCTCCACTGACACACCAGCGCAGCACTGGGGGGAGGGGACACATTGCCAGAGATGCCGTCCTTCAGCTGAGATGGAAAACTGAGCTCCCGTCTGTGCCCTGTTCAGGAGGACGTTAAAGATCCCCCAGTGCTGTTTGGAAAGAGACGGGAGTTTCTATCCTGGGATCCTATCGCTGCCCCTCTCCAGCTCCGCCCTAGACCCCCTCCCCTTCCCCCCAGCTCTGCCTCTCCTCTGGCTCCACCCACTACCCCCACCTCAGGCCCCACCTCACCACTGGCTTGGGCACCGCCCCTCCCGCGGTACCGCCCCTCCCCCGCACCGCTGGCCGCTCTCACCTGTAGTTGCGATGCAGTCGAACCCCACGAAAGCATAGAAGCACGTGGCGGCTCCGGACAGGACCCCCACAAAGCCGAACGGCAGGAACCCACCCGAGCCAAACCCCTCGTCTGTTTCTGTGGTGTCATTGCTGTCGATAGACAGAGTAAAGCTTTAACTGCTGCAGTGAGCACGTCAACTACAACAACAACTTGCACTTATGTAGCTCCCCTCACGCAGGATAGCATCCAGAGTGTCATTCCAAAGCCATACCTGGTTCCCTGTCCCCACACCCCCCCACAGGGAATGGCCCTGATGTACGTGTGCTGACACCAGGCGAGGAAAGCTTGGCTCCACATATACACGTGGCTCACCTGCAGCCACACGCGTGAGAGTGCAGTAACAAAGACTCAGAGAGATACACAGGCTCTCTCAGAAAAGATCATCATCTCACATTTCCTATTGAGCCGCTGTTGGCAAGCTCTGGGCTCAGTGCCTTCCTTCTCCTCTTACACACTGACCCACTTACTCTACATTACCTGCCTTAAACATAATTGACAAAAGAACTAGAGTGGAGATGAGGAGAAATCTTTGGATTTCACCACTGCATGAAAGCGTGGAGCAGATTAGATAATTTCATACACTGCATGAAAGCGTGGAGCAGATTAGGTAATAGCTTTCAAAAGGGAATTGGATAGGTACTTAAAAAGGAAGAATGTGCAGAGCTATGGGGAACAGTGGGGTAGTGGACTAATTGGTAGCTCTATCAAAGAGCACAGGCACAATGGGCCGAATGGCCTCCTTCTGTGCTGTAATATTTTATGATTCTAGGTCGCACCTGGCTCGTCTCTCTTCCCCCACATCCGCCCCCAAATCCACCCTTCCATTTCCCAAGCCAAATGTTGAACATCAGCCCTGGCTGAATATCCCCCAGGAGGAGAGGTCAGTTTTAGCACTGACCACAGACAGCCACGTCAGACAGTGTGAGCGGAACCCTGATCTTTCACCCACCAGTTATCATGGAGCAGTCGGGACTGGTTGTAATCAAGCTCCGACAGCTGCCAGTTCTTCACGTCACCCTTCACGAAGCCGGAGATGATGACAAAGCTGAGAACCACCAGGTTAATGGCTGTGAAGATTTTATTGACCAGCGCTGACTCACTCACTCCAAATGCCAGGAGACCTGAAACAGACAGCTGACAGTCAGACCTTCCGCCCAACTCAGCCCTTCCCTTGCTCCACTCTCATTCCAAACTGGGAATTCCAGTCTCAACCAGTGCTGCGCTTTTCCTGATCCCATTCTGTTCCTTAATTATCCCAACCAAGATTTGGAAGGCAAACTCCCTTCTCTTTTCCAACAGAACTCCCCCCACGCACACTGCCCCCTCCCCCTGCATGCACACTGCACCCTCCCCCACCCCCGCACTAGCACACACTGCCCCTATCCACACTGCGACACAAGTTGAGACTGTGAGCCCCAATGGGGAGCTCGAACTCACAACCTCCGACCCAGAACTGTACAGCTGAGTAGGAAGAATAAAATTCCTCGGTGGCCCCTGGCACTGGGGAGACAGATGCCTGTAATTGATTCCCTGGAGATATTAGGGTAGTTATTGAGGCTGACCTGTGAGGAGTAGGATGAGGATCACAGCAAAGATGTCAGGATACTTGGCCAGGATCCCGGGGAGGTTCATGTGCAGGTACTTCCCGAAGAAGCTAGAAATCCGCTGCTCGATCAGGTTGTCAAATGTAGAGCTCCAAGCCCGAGCCACACTGGCCGTGCCTGAGAACACACACAGCACACCCGTCACAAGCAGCTTTGTCACACACGCACACACATTAGCACACACACACACACTTGCGTACACATGTTTGCGAGGTTTACGCAGGAGGGTGTGACAACCAGACCACAGCAGAGGCTGTGTGACAGGCAGGCAGCCAGCCTAAGGGACACACTTACCCAGGACGTACGATAAGATTAAATTCCAGCCGGTGATGAAGGCCCAGATCTCGCCCACGGTCACGTAGCTGTACAGGTAAGCAGAGCCCGTCTTGGGAACCCTGGCCCCAAACTCTGCATAACACAGGCCAGCGAGCACAGAGGCCAGCGCTGCAATCAGGAAACACAGGACGATGGCGGGACCAGCCTTGTCCCTGGCTACTTCTCCAGCGAGAACGTACACGCCCGCCCCCAGTGTGCTGCCCACACCCAACGCCACCAGGTCCAGCGTTGTCAGGCATCGGGCAAAGCGTGTCTCATCCAAGGAGCAGTCCACCACCCGCCTGCGGATCAGCTTCTTCCCAAAACTTCCAATCGATGTGCTCGGCATTTCAGTAATACAACCTGCATGCCAGAGAGAAGTGACATTGCAATCAGTGAAACCGTTCCCACAAGCAAAGCCTTATCTGGTCAGTCAGTCAGTCAGTCAGTGATCAGGGGCACAAGGTGGCGATAGCACTCGCCCACGAAGGTCACTCAGTGCGTCACAAGAAATTGCTGACTCCACAATTACATCGCTTCTCTCTCTCTCTCGCTCTCAAAGAAATAAACACTGAATTCATTGATAAAAAACTTTTAAACCTCAGTAATCTCGTCACTGCCTCAATGGCATTTCAGATTTAGATCGGATTACACAGGCAGCTCTGAAAGCCCTGGCTAACAAAGGGCGCAGTGTGAACAGGAAAGATCACAGAGCGTGCACAAGCACAGTAACAGGAGACTAACGTGGCGCTCCGTATCACTTTAACCCTATTCTCACTGCATCAGCCCACTGTCCAGGTGGCTCACATCCCTCTTGTTTTACACTCTCCACACAACGGCTTTTGTTCAATCTAAACCATGACCTCATCAACTAAAGTGCCTAACTACAGGAAAGCCAGAAAAAGAGCAATTTATTCTGGGAGAGGGAGAAGCGGTTCATTCATATCTTGGGGGGGTGGAGGGGGGAATATGGGGGGAGTTTAAAAACTCCCATATCTTTTCCAACAGTGCTACAGGATCTTTAACGTCTGCCTGAACAGGCACAGATGGGAACTCGGTTTAACCTCATCCGAAGGACAGCACCTCTGACAATGCAGCGTCTCCAGCACCGCACTGGAGGAGCATCAACCTAGACGGCAAGTTCAAGGTTCCCGATGTGGGGCTTGAACTCACAACCTTCAGACTCAGAGGCGAGAGAGAGTGTTACCAGCTAAGCCGGGCTGTCACCTCAACTGTGTGATAGGTTTTCGCTTGAATAAAGGTATTGGCATCGGTTCCAAATTGGCATAAGACTGATCAGCTGCTCCGCACCACAAGATAACAAAACCCACAGAAAACAAAGCAAGTTTGTTTTAAATGAAACCTGCAGCATATGATTTGGATCGGTGCCTGAGGAAAGCAAGGCAAGTTGGGAAGGTAATGTATCTTATCTGGAACAGAGCAGCGCTCTCTCTCACTTACGATCCCAGACTCCGAATCCCGCGCTATAAACACAGTGTTAGTTACTGACCTCGAACCGCAGCTCACAACCTAGTCATTTGTTCCTAGTGACACACACAGCAGTACCTAAAAACACTTAGAGCCAATACACTTAGATCAATACACATGTCATACTCCCTGCCTCTCCTGACTATTGTACCTACAATTATCCACCTTATACATTACCTTTCAATTACCTACATTAAACATCACCCGTTCACTCCTCAGCTTATTTGCTCAAAATGTCCACAGAGTCCCCAAGTGCCAAACTCATCACATCAGCGACTGTGTAGCTGTACCCACCAGTGCCCTCCCGACAAGACGGCCTGTGAGAATCAGCTTGCTGTGAGCAGGTAGCCAATGTCAGTGCTGAACTAGCACTGTGAGGGCAGCTTCCTGCTGTATATATAGTCATCAGGAAAGAGGAACAAGAGCTGACAAATTCGGCCCCACTCTTACTCCAAAGTTATTGTGACTCCACAGTTTCTCCCACGAGTGTTGGCAAACCATCCCCCCTGACTGCCATCCAGCGCGGCTCTGATTTCTCTTCCTCTTCCCCACACAATGAATCAGGCTTTTCCCTTAAATCATTTCATCAGAAATGAATCAAATTTTACTTGTGTAACTTGAGACAGAAGACAATGGGTGTGGCCCTGCCTGGTGGGGTCTGTTCACAGTGTTTATTCTGGGAAACCAGCTCACAGCCTGGCTTTGTGTTTTGTTTTGATCAGCTAGTGTCAGAGCCACACGGAAACCCATCACTGTGCTCAGGAATATAGAAACCAGACAGATTTCTGCATATTTATGCCGCCTACACAAGGGAATTTCCACAGTGTCTGGAATGGAATGCACTCTCTCTGGAGGGACGTATCCTGCTTACCAAATTCTGGAAAGTATTAAGGGCAGGTTGACAAGAGCCAAGGCTTAGAGACTCCAGAGTGTGCGTTGGGGTAACTGCTGGAGTCTAACCAGCTAAAACCACACAGCTTGCCATTGAGAGCGCTGTCTGGCAAACTTTAAATTTTAAAATGAAACAGTCTGACAGGCTAAGACTGGGTGAAATTTCAGGCCACCTGCAGCTACCTGGACAAGGAAGCAGGAAGGAATGTAAGATTATCATCTTAAAAAAATCCTTCTGTATTATCAACCTGATATTTCCTCCATCGTAAACTGCCCGGCCCACACTGGCACTCCAGGAAATATCAAACTAAATACATGTCAAACCATTTAACCTTGTTTCACAAAGTCACTCCTAGGCACAGAAGGGAGTTGTCCCCCTGCCACTCCACCCCCCACCAAGCCCTCACAGGGTGGACAACAACAACAGCTAGCATTTATACAGCGACATTCACGCATGGCAGCATCTCAGAGCGCTTGCTCACAATACCCACTCCTGTCCCTACCTGGTGAAGGTGAAGGGCAGCGAGACTAAATGGTTAGCTCTTACAGAGAGATGTCACAGACACAATTACCTCCTTCCATGCGGTAAAATAACTGTACGACTTGATAATAATCAGGAATTATTCCACCCCCCATCCCCACCAGGGACTGAGACCCAGTCCCAGCCAGATTCCTCTCCCGGCTCAGATCAGTGACTCAAACCAATCCCTTGTGAGACCGAGCCTCATGGGTGAGGGCGGCAGGACAGAGAGACAGCCCTGGGTTTGTTTAGAATAATAAGCAGGTGATGGGCAGAGAGGGGGCTGGAGAGAGGAAATTGTGTGATTACAATTTAAAACTCACAAGCTGTTTCTAGGTCTGTTCCTGAAAATAAATGAGTCAATATATAACCAGCTCAAACACACGCGCAGGGTAACTAACGGCCCACACTGTGGAGCCTGTGACCTGATGGTGTCCCAGGGTGCAAGTGCGTCTCTCAGCTTCTGGGCTGACTGAGGGTTTGACAGACTGACAATCTCTCAGGGGCTGCGTGGAGAACATGGAATCAAAGCAATTAGACAGGACAGGAGAAGCTCTCTCTGGGACTATAGCATTTAAAGAGGAAATCAGACAGAAACACAGAAACATGAAGAGGCCATTCAGCCCCTCAAGCCCCTCAAGAAGTTTACTAGAAATAGAGATGAACCAAGGGGCTAATGATACGGAGCAACTTAGGGAAATTTACATTAGCAAAGAATTGGTGCTAGGGAAATTGTTGGCATTAAATAGAGATGGTCTCATCCCAGGGTTTTAAAAGATGTCGCTCATGACAACAATAACAACAACAAGATTCCATTTATAAAGCGCCTTTCACGTCAGGAGGACGTCCCAAGGCGCTGCACAGTTGGGTCATGACCCGAGCAGGGGGGAAATGGTCAGGGTGAGGGGAGGGAAGGGAGGGAGCGAGGAGGAGGAAGAGAGTCGAGAGGGAGCTGAAGGCTCGGTCAAAGAGAAAGGTTTTGAGACCGGCCTTGAAGGAGGAGAGGGAGGAAGCGGCGAAGGCACTGGGGGATAGAGTTCCAGAGCCTGGGGGCTGAGAGGCTGAAGGCCCGACCACCGATGGTAGGGCGATTGGGGCGGGGGACGTGGAGCAGACCGGAGCCGGAGGAACGGAGAGTACAGGCAGGTAGGTAGGGTGATAGTAGGTTGGAGAGGTAGGAGGGAGCAAGGCCGTGAATGGCCTTGTAGGTGAGGATGAGGATCTTGAAATCAATCCTCTGGGGGATGGGGAGCCAGTGGAGGCGAGCGAGGGTGGGAGTTAGTGGAGGCCTTGTGTCTGATCTTCCAAAATTCTTTGGATTCTGGAATGGTTCCCATTGATTGGAAGATCGCAAATGTCACACCACTATTTAAGAAGGGTGGGAGAGAAAAGATGGGGAACTATAGACCAGTTAGTCTGACATTGGTGATAGGGAAAATTCTAGAATCCTTAATTAACGATGTCGTAGTCGGATACTTAGAGGATCACAATATGATTAGGCAGAGTCAACATGGCTTTACAAAAGGGAAGTCACGCTTAACAAATCTTGTAGATTTTTTTGAGGACATATCAAGTACATTAGATAGGAGGAAATCAGTGGATGTAGTGTATTTAGATTTCCAAAAGGCATTCGATAAGGTGCCGCATAAAAGGTTGATCCACATTAGGGCCCATGGAATTAAGGGGAACATATTAGCATGGATTGAAGAATGGCTAACGGGAAGAAAACAAAGAGCAGGGATAAATGGGTCCTTCTCAGATTGGCGGGATGTGACTAGTGGAGTGCCACAAGGATCAGTGCTTGGGCCTCAACTGTTTATAATCTAAATCAACGATCTACATGAGGACATAGAGTTTAACATATCCAAATTCGCGGATGACACTATCTAGGAGGGAGAGTAAACACCGAGGATGACATTAAAAAAATGCAACGAGATATAGATAGGCTAGGTGAGTGGGCAAATAGGTGGCAGATGAAGTATAATGTAGGGAAGTGTGAGGTCATCCACCTAGGTGGCAAAAACAGTGGAACAGATTATTTTTTTTTTTAGAAGGGGAGAGACTAGATAGCGTTAGCGTTCAGAGGGACTTGGGTGTCCTTGTACACCAGTCACAAAAAGTTGGTTTGCAGGTACAGCAAGCAATTAGGAAGACTAACAGTATGTTGGCATTGTTACCAAAAGGTAAGGAAGGCTTGCTGCAGCTGTATAGGGTCCTGGTGAGACTGCACCTAAAGTATTGTGTGCAGTTTTGGTCTCCTTATTTAAGAAAGGATGTATTCGCCTTGGAGGGGGTACAACATAGATTCACTAGGTTGGTACCTGGGATGAGGGAATGAGTTATGAGGAGAGGTTGAGCCATTTAGGCCTATATTCTCTAGAATATAAAAGAATGAGGTTATCTTATAGAAACCTATAAGATTATTATTAAGGGGCACGACAGAATAGATAGTGGGAGACTTTTTCCCCTAGTTGGAGAAACTATAACCAGGGGTCACAGTCTTAAAATTAGGGGGTAAGCCCTTTCGCACTGAGTTGGGTAGAGGGTAGTGAATTTATGGAATTCTCTACCCCAAAGGGCTGTAGATGCTCAGTCTTGAACATATTTAAGACTGAGGCTGATAGATTTCTTGTGGCTAAAGGGATTTAGGGATATGGGGATAAGGCGGGTAGGTCGAATTAGAATAGATCAACCATGATCTTACTGAAAGGCGGGGCAGGCTAGAGGGGCCGAATGGCCTACTCCTGCTCCTAATTCTTATGTTCTTATATATCCCTCAATACCCTGATCTAACAAAAACCTATCCTTGTTAAAGACCCAACACCAGACGAGTTGTGCACTCACCTCAGTGTGACTGTCACAGACACTAACCCCCAACAGGTCCCGTAAAACTCGCAAGTCCTCACAAGGCAACTATAAAAACACAACTGTTGCTCATCGCTCCCGTGGGAGGCTACAGTCATGGGCTCTGCCAGGGACAGTCATGTGAGGCTGTTAAGCTGGATGCCAATTACCTTGGTTTCATTAGCTGTGGAACAGGATTTTTTTTCTTTATTAATAAGCAGCGAGTTTTCCATTCCAGAAATCGGATCAAATGAGAAGCACCAGCTTCGAACCCAGAAATACAAGCCACCCAGTAACCATCAGCCCCTGGGGGGGGGGCAGCCGGTAACTGTCAGTCTAACATCAGGGTGGGGGGGGAATGGGGGGGGGAGTTAACCCTGTAACTCCCACGTGCCGGAGATCGGACAGACAGACAATCACATACTGTGGTCAGTTCAAATCATTTCTGTTTACACTCATACATCAATTATCCATTTACAGACTGAACAAATCGTAATCAAACCGTTGAGAGTGAAGTTATTGAACCCTGTAAATCTGCCCCCCACCCACCACTGTGCTACACACCAACCAACCTCCAGCTAGAACATACAACACAGACAGACTGAAGTTAGGGGAGGGGGAATGGAGAGGAATTTGGGACAGATGTGTGGGGTTCATCTTGATTGTGAAGTCTAGACTTGGTGCACATTGTGGGCATGGACTGTGCTGGAATGTGTATGCATGTGTGTGCGTATGTATGTAGGGTGTGGACAGGCTCTGATGTTTGAACACACCCAGGAAACAACTTGGGCGAGGAGGGCAACTGGTGCCAAGGAATAAGCCCCAACAAGAAAAGAAAATTGGAGAAGAGTGAGAGAAACATTTTTTATATATAATTAGTAATAATAATCTTTGCAATTGATACAGCGCCTTATCATGTCTTTAAGAGTTTGCAAAGCACTTCACAGGACACATTGTAAAGTGATTTGACTGTATATTTTGTGAGCGAAATGCAGCAGCCAACTGCGCACAGCAGTGTCCTACAAACAGTCGTGGATTGAGCAACCAAATTATTATTATTTTATGTTAATAAAATAGTTTAGAAAAAAATAAAGGAGGCTGAGAAGTGGGATTAATGTTTTTTCAC